GCTGGCATGGCTCAGTGGTTGAGCGTGGATCTATGAAGCAGAAGGTCAGAGTTCGATTCCCCGTCAGGGCACATGCCCAGATTGCAGGCTCAATCCCTGGTGTGTGGTGTGCAGGAGGCAGCCGATCAATGATTCTCTGTCATTGATATCTCTCTCTCCCTTCCTCTCCAAAATCAATAAAAATATATTTAAAAAACAATAATAATAAAATAAAAATTAAAAAATACAATTCTTTCAATAAATAAAATTATTTTTGGTCCTATGGAAAAAATTTCGGTACTTGAAACTATATAGTAATATTTCCATATATCATCAATAGAAAATTAAATTTTTAAAGTCATAATTAAAACTCTACTTCTTTTGTTCAGGATAGTACTGAAATGTGGTCAGTTAATTTAGATTATTTGTTTGTTTTTGATATTCTTATTACTGCTTCATTTTCGTCCTAGGTTCCTCCAGAAGAAATTAATTATCTGACTAGAATTCACTACAAGGCTCAGTCTGATAGTATCTGGGGAGAACATGAAATTGATTACATTTTGTTTGTGAGAAATAACGTGACTTTGGATCCAGACCCCAATGAGATTAAAAGCTATTGCTATGTGTCAAAGGAAGAAGTGGAAGAAATGCTGAAAAAGGCAGCCAGCGGTGAAATTAAGATAACTCCATGGTTTCAATGTATTGCAGAAACTTTTCTCTTTACATGGTGGGATAACTTAAATAATTTGAATCAGTTTGCTGACCATGAGAAAATACACAGAATGTGAATGTGGAGATGAATGATTAGTAAAACACGAAAAATGTCTCTACTTAGTAAACTTAAAATGATTTTTTAAAAATTGGGATCCCCAGTAGAATTCTCATTGGATACACTGGTACTTTACAACCCGAATTTGTGTGGAAAAGATGCTGACAATTCTTACTTGTATCACACACCCCACATATATGCACTCCTATTTGTAAAGGACATTTATGAAAGATTATTTTTAAAAAGCAAATCAACTAAACTGTCTAAACAGTCCTGACAAATTTGAACGAATAAGTGAAGCTCTTTATTTGTGATGTGTTGAGACATTTTCAGAACCCGTAGAGCACTTTATTTGCCAGGTGCTTTACATATCATTAAAGTTTTATCATAGTCCAGAAAAATGTGCAACAGAAACTGTCTGCTTAGCTGCTTCAGAACAGCTCAAATTAACTTTCCATATTAAGATATTAAATTAGGGGAGCAGGTCAAAGGTAACTAAATGGTGTATGTCCTGATTTCTATCAGTCTGTGTTCTCAGAATTACAGGGGACAGACTATTTGTAAAAAGGAAATTGGGTCATACTCTACCACAGGGGTTCTTACCACTGGTTCTGTTAACATTTGGGCTGGGTAATTCTTGGTTGTGGGGGTTCATCCTGTGCATTGAAGGACATTTATTTAGCAGCATCCTTGGGTTCTATCCACTATTTGCCATTGGTACCCACCCCCCCATCACAGTCACAGTTATTACTGATGCCAAATGTGTGCTGGATGGCAAAGGTGTTCCTGTTGAGAACCACTGCTCTACAAAGTCATGCCATATTGCGGGGAGCAGAGGGAATTAAACAGAAAGGTTAATATTTGTGTTAAATGGAATTGGGGTCTGGAGTATGTGTATATTAATATTTAAACTGTACTTTGATTGATGCACTTTTTAAAACTCTTGCATAGATTTCTCAGTTTGAAATCTCAAGACAGCTTTATAATCTTTGAATGCTGTGTAATAATAAAAAAATTGTTTCTTACAAGCTAAATATTTTATAAATTTAATGGAAGAATCCATTTCTTGTTAACTCTGAGCAGTTAATTCATAATTTCAGGGAAGATTTGTCACAAGTATTAATTTTACTGAAAAGTAAAAACAAATAAAAAATTACATTTTAATACGGTTGTCTTTTTTGTTAATATTTTAATACAATAATAGGTTAACCTGCCTATGGTAGCATAAACATAAATGCCATATAGCTTCAAAGTACATTCAAACATTTCTAGTTCTTAAGTTTTCTTTCCCAGGAGGTTTCAAGCTGAAAGCCACACGTAACTAGTTACTCAGCTACAGTGGCTAATGGCTGCCATACTGGACAATGGGTCTTTAGACCAGCACTTGGCACTTTGTAATATATATATATTTTTAAAATATATTTTATTGATTTTTTATGGAGAGGAAGGGAAAGGGATAGTTAGAAACATCGATGAGAGAGAAACATCAATCAGCTGCCTCCTGCACACCCCCTACTGGGGATGTGCCCACAACCAGCAGGCCGATGCTCTGTCCACTGAGCCAAACCGGTTAGAGCATTTGTAATATATTTTATTGATTTTTTTACAGAGAGGAAGTGAGAGGGATAGAGAGAAACATCGATGAGAGAGAAACATTGATCAGCTGCCTCCTACACACCCCCCCACTGGGGATGTGCCCACGGCCAAGGTCCATGCCTTTGACCAGACTCGAACCTGGGACCCTTCAGTCCACAGGCTGACTCTCTATCCACTGAGCCAAACCGGTCAGGGCCAGCACTTGGCACTTTGTAAGTGCTCAGCAAGTGTCACATATTCCACTGTTACTAGAATGCCCCTTCTTCGCGCCCCCCTCCCACCCCCCGTTGATTTTTTTATACAAGAGTGGAAAGGATGGGGAGAGACTGAGAGACAAACATCGATGTGAGAGAAACACCTATTGGTTGCCTCCCCCACACACCCCAATCAGGGTTGGGGATCAAGCCTTCAACTGAGGTATGTGCCCTTGACCAGAACCAAACCCTGGACCCTTTAGTCCAAGGGCTAATGCTCCAATCACAGCAATCCAGCTAGGTAGAATGCCCCTTCTTTGACCTGATGAATTTACAACTCATGCATCCAAGTGAGATTAAAAATTCCTGAAAGGGCCTGAGGGAGCCTATTTAAGCCACTCCTGTATTTGTCTTTCTCCATCAGTTTTAGGTTACACCTCTCATTCCAGACACAATCAGATGTTCAGGGCCATGTATATTTCCTATGGTCAAGTCCTGAAATCAGCTACTTTTTCAAGACGAAGAATAGGAATTTGTATACACATACACTAATTTGAGGTAGATTCATTGCAAAATTTACTCATCAGAGCCTCTGAAGTTGAGGATTTTTACCCAAAGACCCTCTTTCCCAAGCTTCCTTTCTTAAATTTTGAGATTAATTTTGTAATTATAAACATGAAAGATCGTAGTGATTTAAAAAAAAATCAGTGGTATATAACATTCAAGATTGTTGTAAGGACTTTCCTACTACTTCAGCAAGGTCAACCTTAGTGGTTAGGGCAGGTTCCACACCCAGAACATTGGCTTAGATTCAACTGTAATCTTTTTTGTAGGTTTTGTTTGTTTTGTTAATCTGCACCCGAGGATATTTTTCCTTTGCTTTTTTTTTTTCTAGAGTGGAAGGGAGGGAGAGAGAAAAACATCAATAGGAGGGCCAAGATTCTACCACTGAACCAAACCGGTTAGGGCTGTAATCTGTTTTTAAATGTTTATTTTAGAGAGAGAAACATCGATTGGCTGCCTCCCACATGCCACACCCTGGCAAGTTCCCCGACCAAAGGGAATCAAACCAGTACCCTCTTCTTTTGTGGGTCGATGATCAACCATAAGCAACACCAGCTGGCAGGGCTGTAATCTGTTTTTAAACTGAAGGACAGTGTTAATGTGCATGGGCTGCTTTTTTTTAAATCCTCACCTGAAGATATTTTTTCATTGATTTTAGAAAGAGTGGAAGAGAGTGGGAAAGAGAGAAATATCGATGTGAGAGAAACACATCGATTAGTTGTCTCTTGCACATGCCCTGACCAGAGCCTGGGCTGGGGAGGAGTCTGCAACCAAGGTACATGCCCTTGACCTTACAGTCTGCAGGCTGCCGCTCTATATCCACTGAGCTGAACTGGCTAGGGCTGGGCTGCTTTTAAAAAAAATGTTATATATATAAAAAAATAGTTCTATCTAGGAGTAATTTCATTTAATCTGGTAAATGAATTGCCTCCCAGTACTAATGGAGAAATGTGAAGTCTGGAAAGAGGCTCATCTTAATTAATAGTAGAGTTTCATACAGATATACATAATTTCTAGAGTAACAAGTATAGAAACAGATTGTATTCATTTCAATCAGTAGAGAAACTAAGTAGGATAAAAATTACATTCCAAAAGCAGGCAAGACAGAGTATATACAAAGACAATTACAAGTACAAAATAAGATAGTGCTTTTTTAATTCAGGTATATAAATAATGAGAACTTTACTCCCTTAGCAATTTTCAAATACGTAATACAGTATTTCTTAAATGAGATTTAGTCTTTTATTTATTTATTTACTAGAGGCCCGGTGCACAAAATTCGTGCACAGGTAGGGTCCCTAGGCCTGGCCGGCGATCAGGGCTGATCTGTGGGGCAACCGGCGTGGAGATAGGGGGTGCCTACTGGCACCCGCCTTGGCTGGCCTGGCGCCATCTGCTCGCTGGTCCCATCCCCCACCTCTGCGGGGCAACCAGCAGGTTGATCAGGGGGCCCCCCCACTGGCACCTGCCTTGGCTAGCCTGGGGCCTGTGAGCTGGGGAAAGCTCCTGCATTGAGTGTCTGCCCCCTGGTGGTCAGTGCATATCATAGCGACCAGTCATTCTGCCGGTCCTTAAGCCATTCAGTCGATTTGCATATTTGGCTTTTATTGTATAGGACTAGAGGCCTGGTGCACAAAAATTTGTGCACTGGTGGTGGGGGGGGGGTGTCCCTCAGCCTCACTTGTGCCCTCTCACAGTCTGGGACCCCTCGGGAGATAACGACGTGCTGGCTTAGGCCTGCTCCCAGGTGGCAGAGGGCAGGCCCAATCCCTAGGTGCAGCCCCTGGTCGGGCTCAGAGCAGGGCCGATTGGGGAGTTGGGGCGC